CTGGGTTAGGTAACCTGCTAGATAGAGGATTGCAATAGAGTTCAATGGGCTTGTTATGGGCCCAGGGTTACGAATGGGTTAGGTAACTAAGTGCTAGAGACCAGGGAGGAGTTCCAGTGCTCGTACAGCCCGAAGCACGAAGCTGGGTCTAGGGGTTGGCAGGGCAAACTTCTGGGAATAGAGCTACTTCTAACTAGGCTTATAATCCTACTTGTATTCGGGGTAACCTACATCCAGTTAGGGGACTATATGTAGGGTTATAAGAACAGTGACAAGTAGTTACCAGGTCTCATGACCATTCAAGTAGGCTCACAGTCACGGTTGCCTGACATAGACCCAGAAGCAGATGCTAGTCCACAATGTTTTTCTTGCCTGGGCATTTCGCTGACTTTTCAGGGTTTGAGGGTGTCCTGTTGGGGGTTGGGCATGGTCGTCCACTCCTGAGTGCTTTCGAAAACCAGTGCATCCATTCCCCAGAACCATGCGCATTCTTGAGTGCATCCGATAAGCTGAGCATCAATGCTCCCAAGCCATAACGCTGTGCACCCGTACAAGCATTCGATGGTCCATGCCCAAACCATAACAACATCCAGTCTCTCACGTCAAAAGAGCGCTAAAACCGATCCAAGCCACGACAGCTGTGCAGGAGCAAGGCAGTGTGGTGGAAAGGGCAGGCTTAGAGAAATCCCCCAACCACACAAAACACTGCAAAACATGGGGGCCTCCTCAAGTGCATGAGCGAGTTGTCAGTAGTATTACTCCTTGCAAAGACTGGCTCACAACCCTGAATCCTAAACCTTAAAACCTGCAACTCCCGACCTCAAGTGTCGCTACATAACCCCCCCAAAACAGACTCATCTTATGAACAGCACCCCTCAAACCTAAATCCTAAACCCTAAATCCTAAATCCTAAATCCTAAACCCTAAACTCTAAACCTAAACCCTAAATCCTAAACCCTAAATCCTAAACCCTAAATCCTAAACCCTAAACAAGGGGGCCTGCAGAAGATCCAAGAGGTCAAAGCAGAGGCCCTTCCGCTATGCAGGGGGAAGGCTTCATAATATGAGCTACAGTCTAAACGACTCAAAGGGGGGTCATATTGCAGGGTTCAGGGTCTAACTCCTCAAAGGGGGTTATATGGGGATTTATAGAAGGGATTATTATAGGGGTTATGAGGGGGAGACTAGGAGTTTCGACTGCAGCAATATAACGAAGACGTGAGCAACAGTTCAGGGCATAAATACAGAAGTTTGTCAAAGCTCTGGTTCTCTCTGGGGGTACCCCAGGTATTAGGGGTCATGTTTTGCAGAGGCTCAAAAAGGGACCATGATCCAGACCGCCACCCATACAAGGTCTACTTCAGGGCTCGCAAGTTGCCATACAGCGGCATCAAGATTCGAATGTTTGTTTATGTGGTTCAGGACCTTCGTAAGATACTCATGGGGACAACCATTCTAAGAGATTCTCAGGGTCCAAACAATTTGGGTACGGGATACAAGCTCTCCTTACGTGAGAAAGTTGATGCGCTCTTTGTTGCAGAAGCTTATGAGCGCTTTCAGTTCATCTAGTCCGTTCATAGCTTCTTACCTAGGCTTTGTGACATGAAGGCTACTTACTCGGCCCGTTTCAGAGGTTCCTCGTTTTAAGTCCCCATCGAGAGATGGCATCTTACTGCAGCTGTGAAAGATATGGGGTTTGCCAATATTAGGGGTACCTCATTAGGGGTCCCTGTAATACTGATTATTGTATTTTGGGTCTCTGTTGGGGCCCCCCTACTTTAGGGAATCTGCAATGTGGCCCTGCTGCAAGGACACCCTTCAAACCCTAAGCCAGGAATAGACATGTAGTCCCACTTTCCATTTCATTTTCCATTTCATTTTCCACTATTAGGGCAACATACCCTGAACCCTAAACTACAAGGTTCCTGAAAATCATTTTTAGTTTCTGTTACCTAGAATCCTAATATTTAGCTGAAATTATAATTTCTACTGGGGTTCCAAATCCCTTAGAGTAAGCCCTATATGCAGACTTGGGATCTGGTTGTTGACTTATTTGCTTGGATGCCACTTCTCGAGCTTGAACCCCAAGCGTGAATTGCTGAACCAAAGCCTAAACCCTAACCCGAAACCCTTTATACCCCCATTGTAGTAGTTTCCATTTTATTTTCCATTATCCCAGTATAACCCCAATGTAATTAGCAAGTTCCAGAACTCATTCGGAAGGCGAACTCTAAGGAGTTTGGAGCACGGGGGCCTTTGGATGCAGGTGTTCCTGGATATTCAGTATTCTGTCTCACGCCCTTCGTCCTAAGCCTAAATCCTAAACCCTAAACCCTTAACCCCTTACCAGGTTGGCTCCAAGCTGCACGACTACATCGAGGAGATCAACATGCTCTACCCTCCGGAGATCGTGCAGTCAGCGGCCAAGCATTGCTTGCTATCATTGGAACCGGTGTTGCTGTCACATGTGTAGTTGTTGTGGCCTCCTGTATGACCCTCATTGGCTTAGCTGCAGTACGAAAGGTGCGTGCAAGGATCATTGTCGATCAGCATGTCTGCAACCCCATATCTCACTATGCGCTGTTTACACTTGGGAAAAAGGTACCCGAGGTGAATTTTGGGCGAGGTTGAAGTTTGCGGCCTAGGGGCACGGTGCAGCATGCTCATGAGGTTCTCAGCAGGTCCCTACTTTCAGTTGCCTCTTCTCTGGTCTTGCGGGGAGGAAATTGAACAAATTCCCCTGCCTGACATCCTGCCTGGACACTAGCATTTCAAGTTCTGAGACGCTAAGAATCTGATGAGATGCCCCACTGTAGGCCTCCAGTATTCACCCAACCCTACTCTCTTCAGGTACTACTCGCCCAACTACGCAGAGACACTCCTCAAGAAGATGGAGGACAAAGGGGAAATTCACCGTAGATGGTGCTTGCCTGGCGTAAAAGCAGGCGTAGGAAGCCAAGCATTGAGGTATTCAAAATGGCAATAATAGTAACAATAGTAATACTAGTAATAATAATAACAACAATATTAGTAAAATAAACAATGATAGTAATATTTGTAATATTAGTTATAATATTAGAAGGTAGCCTTGAAGGGGACTTCCTAGCCGGGTGCCTTGATGTTCCCTCCTTTCATTAAAGAAACACGCGTTTTCACTTCGAACTGCGAACAAACATCTGCTCTTACCAGGACTTCAACCCAACCCTAAACCCCAAACCCTAAACATCTGCTCTTACCAGGATTTCAACCCTTCCGGATGATCCGGTTGAGCTGCAGTCATGGTGCATCGTGCCGATCCAGCCTCAGTTAAGTTATAGTCTGAACTTTTTAAAGGGGGTACGTAGGGGATTGTATAGGAGACTACTATAGGGGTTATTAAAGGGGATACTAGGAGCTTACACTATGCCTCAGTTTGCCCACGATAGCATTTTGGGTCAGAAGTTGGCTGCATGACATGTCTTCGAGTTCTTGGGAGTCGGATATTCAGGCATGGGGTACGTGTGAGGCGCCCCAAGACAGCACCGTCAGATTGATTTACCCGAGCAAAACACAGAGAAAAGGGGCGCTGTCTTGGCAGCTTTGTGCATGTTCAGGGGAGATCATCCTACAGCCAGAACCCCCACACACAACCCTAAACCCCTAAACCCTAAACCCCTAAGCCCCAAAACCCCTAACCGCTAAACCCTAAACCCCTAAACCCCTAAACCCTAAACCCCTAAACCCCTAAACCCCTAAACCCTAAACCCTAAACTGACTAATCCACCAACCCTGAGCCTACATCCATTCCACCTCCGAGGGAGAGAAATCCTCAGCTGCACACTTCACCATGTGGTGGCCTGCTTGCTGCAGCCCGGAGCTTAGGACAGCAGCAGGTTTAGGGGCTGAGGGGTTTAGGGGGTTTAGGGGCTTATAGGGGGTTTAGGGGTTGAGGGGGCTTAGGGGTGTAGGGTTTAGGGTTTAGGGGTTTGGGGCCTCTTTTCTTCCATCAGCACTACAGAGACCCGGAGGAGAAGCATGAATGATAACAAGATGCAGTAGCTAAACAGGCAAAGTTGTAATGGCAACATGTAGTAGTAACAATGATGACGGTTGTGACAAAAAAAAGCCTCCATATCAGTTGGCATAGCCCCTAACTTGAGCAATCCTGCACTGCGGGCTGAGGTTCAAAACTCGATCTGCTCAGCTTGTCCCACTGAAAGCTCGCGTTATGGAGCCTCTTACAGTGCCGGAAGTTCCTTCAGTGTTCAATACTTACATGCAATTGCCCCAACAGACTTGGTGACACGTGGTCTGCCGATCAATTGGAACACACACCAGCTGGCACTCGGCTCCTGTAACTTGGAAAATGTTTCCTCACAGCTGCACTTCCGGAATTTCACCCCCCAAGTTTTGCACGCTGTGCGTTGCATGTGAAACCCTAGTCTAAACTCCTAGTATCCCCTGTAGTATCCCGTATATAATCCTTAGTATCCCCTATAGAATCCCTAATATAGCCCCTTTAAGGAGTTTAGATTCAAATCTATTAGTCACAGGCGGTTCCATATTGCTGCTTTGCAGATGCACCTCCAAAGGATCTTTGCACGTGCTTGCCAGCATGCTGGACTGAAACATGACAGCCTTGCCACGCCGAGACAAAATGCTGCTAGCACCTGTGAGCGAGGCACTGCAACCCGTTTACATCATTCCGTTAAAGTCTAGCTGACACATTAGCTGGAAGTTCCTGCAGGGCTGCAAGGTGGAAGTTTACTCCGTGACGTTCAACGCATCAAGCCCATAAATGCAAGTTGTATGCTTGACCTCTCCGGGGCTCCCAGAACCTTGTAGAGTCTCCCAGTGCTCAGCTGCAAACACGTTCATCAACGCATCAACGGCTCGAAGGAAAGACCACTCCGTCCAACACCATCTCAGGTAACAAGTGCACAGTCAAAATATCTACCACTCATGCACAGGTACTACAACGTGCAGCATTCAGTGCAACAGGAGGCAGCTCTTTTGCCAAGATGTCCCTCCTCAAGGATCTCATGGACCCTGCGCATCACCGCTTCCGCAGGCGGTCCCGTGGCGCTGAACACCTGGATTACGAGAACGCTGAGGCTACCGTAGAGCCACAGCGCCAGCTTGCAGCCCTTGTCAGGGATGCCACAGGCAAGATCGCCCAGCACATGGGGGAGGTTGTCCAAGCCCATTCAACCCTTATGCAGGGGCTTCAACGGTATTTCGGCCTGGATGTCAGCGGTGTAGACACCTCCGCCATGGCTCTCATGCAAGAATGTGCAAGTGTCACCGAGTCCTTCGAGCAGCACCTGAAGAAGGCCGGCTTTGCAGACGTGATGAACAGTTGCTGGGTTGGCCTTTGGGATACTTCAATTATTTTCCCCAATTGGTTTCATAAGGACCCTAGAAACTAATATGTTTCAAAGGGTTGATCTAACTGGTTTCATAAGGACCCTATATACTAATATTTTTCAAAGGGTTCCAAAGGCCAACCAAGGTTGTGATGAGGTCCTCCGGGAGTGCAATGCTGTGGCCAGCCTGCTGCATGACCGCGACGAGGCGCTCTCTGAGCGGCAGCACTACGAGGAGAAGGTCGCCACCCTGCACCTCACTGGTGGTTAGTAAGCAGTACAAGCCCTTTGTAGTCCCTATATAGTCCCTATACTCCCTATACTATATATTCCCTTCTTCCGTACTAACCCCCGGTAAGGAACAGCGTATCCAGGGGCGTGATCACAGAGCAGATTGCCCGCAACCGCGAGAAGCTCGAGCGCGCAAAAGAAGCTCACCAGGTGAAGGAAGAGGATCTTACCACAGCTTTGCAAGTCTCTGGGCTGCTGTTGAGGAACTTCAACTAAGTTACCATAATATGGGTATGTTAGTACATAATAGGGCTTCCTTATTATAGCAACTAAGCTTAATCCTAAACCCTAACCCCTATATACCCATTATGGTAACTAAATCCCAAACCCTAAACCCTATATACCCATTCTGGCAACTTTCTTTAAGTTCCTTAACAGCAGCCCAGGTCTTCATCTACCGAAGGCCTGTACACTTCCGGCAGACTTTGCTAGCCCTCTTCCGGCAGCATATTGGCGTGCTGGCTTTGGTAGGCTCCAAGGCTCAGGAGGCCATGAAACTCGGTTGCTGTTAAGGAGCTTAAAGTAAGTTACTAGAATGGATATATAGGGTTTAGGGTTTAGGATTTAGTTACCATGATGGGTATTTAGGGTTTAGGGTCTAGGGTTTGGGGTTTAGGATTAAGTCGCCATATTGTATATATATATATATATATAGTAGTTAGCAGGGTTTCCCCAATACAGTAACT